GTGTGTCTGTCCCCTCAGGCGATATGGTCACTGCTAACGACGAAGCTGCTGGGACTGAAGTGGTTTTGAGTGTTTCCTGTGTGTTGTCACAGTCAGTGTGGATATCAGAAGCAAAAGCCCAGTTTTTTTTCAGGTTTCCAGGAGCTGTGTTGTTTTTCTTGTGCAAAGAAATGTTGAATCACTGTGATTTTTGATGTTCTGCACACTGCAGCCCATGCAGATCCTGTTTAGCTCTAACTTTTCAGAAGTATTTTTTTATTGGTGTACTGTAGGTGCTTAACCACAGGGTTCAATTCTGATTGTGTCTGGAGCACTGTGTCTATTGTGATGCATTGCAATTGTTCCAAAATCCAGCAATCAGTTGTGTGCATGTCTGGGTTTGGAGCCTACTCAATTAATATCCATAATGTCTTAGCTGTGTGATAACAGAGTTTATTGTGCATAGCACAAAGGTTTTGCATGTATTGTGTTTCTTCCCGTCAGAAAATGCCTGCATATTTGCAAGATTGCCGATCTGCGTGGGTTGAATATTGGACTTGCTAAATTGATTGGTTTATGGTCCTATTGTATTGACTCTCAAACACATTCTGCAGTGTCTGCATGTATAGTAGTGAGAGCTGGAAAGGAAACCATGTTGGTTTGCGTGCATGGTTTGTGACCACATCGGTTTGAAAGAGGGTTTCACAGTGCTCACACTGATATACCATGTTCCCCCAGTCAGGAGGACCTGAGAAAAACACTGAGGCGTAGCTGGGGGCGGGACGAGATTCCCCAAGCTCGCTGTGATTGGATACCAGCCGGCTAAGATGCCTCAGGGTTGTTGTGATTGGCTGAAGAAGAACAGAGCAGCTGATCAGGGCGTTAGCAGGGCTGTCCCTGCTGTAGGGTCTCTGCAGGGCTGTCCAGTCCTGGTCCTGGAGGTACCGGTCAGTGTGTCTGCAGGGCTGTCCAGTCCTGGCCCTAGAGGTACTGGCCAGTATCTCTGCAGGCTATCTAGTCCAGGTCATGGAGGGACTGGTCAGTAGTATCTAAAGGGCTGTCCAGTCCTGGTTCTAAAGAGCCAGTCATTGTCTGTACAGGGCTGTCCAGTCCTGGTCCTGGAGCGTCGGTCAGTGTCTGTGGACTTTCTAAGTCTCTTTAAAGTAGCATCACCTTGAAGATTTGAGAGAAGCTGCTGAACTGATACAGTTAAAGCAATAATGAGTTGCATTTATAATTCTGAATATTTTCCAGGCTGACTCAGGACTGGTGGTCAGGCTGGTAGATGAAGTGTGCTGGTTACAGCAGTAGCGGGGGAGTGTCTGTTGTCAGCATGTGCCTCTCTTTCAGTAGGAGCTCCTCTTTGTCCAAATCCGATTGCGTTTGTGGTTTGAAGAGGAACCTGTTCTTCCCTTGTCAAAGCAAAAAAACTTTCAAACTGACAACTTTCTAACAAAATGCAACTTGCAGAGGGATGTGAAACTCTGGCGTTTTCACAGATAAAGATGCTATGGTTTATCAGACAGCTTCTGCAATATGCCAGGGTGAACGTGATGATGAAATCATGCATTTGTGTTTATCTGTTGCATACAAAATGGGAGCTCCATGCACAGAATTGAAGAAGAGAATGAAGTTTAAGGTTTTGGAAGGCGGTCTGGAATGGACTGGCAAGTCTTGAGACACTCTTCCTGTGTCGGGTAAGAATTATGACTATTGCCCTCCAGTTAGAGACTAAAATCAGTGCAATAGATACAGTATACAGTATACAGTATAATAGTATTGTAATGAACAACAGGTGGGGATCTGGCAGACGGGGAGTTTTGTGGGTCTGTGATACAATGTTTTGGAATGATCTGGATCTGTTGGCTGAAGATGAAGGCTTGCTGCTACGTGCTGGGTAAATACATAACTGGTTTCTCTGCCATCATGTAAGAGCTTGTTGAAACTCTCTCTGTCCCTTGAAAACTGCTCTGAGTGTCTTCCCAGTAACCGAAACAACCCCCTTGAACAGGGCTAATGAGGAACAAAGGATAGTGTCCTTTTTATTGGCTGCCTGATGGTGTTACTGTATAATCTACCCTCTGGAGAGAGGGAGATTCTCAGTATCACAGACTCAGATCTGCTGTTTTCTGAATACCTTCAGGTGTCTTGCACAAAAAGGAAGAGGTCTGGTCTTGTAGAGGGTTAACAACTTTCTGAGCTCATGCACAGGTGGGGGAGCTCTCTGGGTGGAGCTGTCATGCATGTGGGTGAGGCTCACTCACATGGTGCAGAGTTCTCTCACAAGAGGGTTGGGTTAGGGTTAGGGTTGGGTTTGTTCACAAATGGGTGGAGCTCTCACAAAAGGGTGGGACAGACACAAAGGGGTGGGGCTAGTTCAGTAATTCGTGGGGCTTTCACACAGGGGTGGGACAGTCACACAAAGGGGTGGGGCAACATCAGCAATGGGTGTGGCAGTCACACAAAGGGGTGGGGCTAGATCAGCAATGGGTGGGGCAGTCACATGAAGAGGTGGGGCTAGTTTAGCAATGGGTGTGGGCTTTCACACAGGGGTGGGGCTGTCTTACAGACAGCAGTGGTGCTCTGGACATGTATAGAGGAACAGGACTTTGTTCTGGCAGCTGTTGCTTCACACTGCTTCCCTGGTTCCTGGAAAAAAAAAAACAGAAGTTAAAACCAGACTGTTGATGAAGTGAAGTGTTTTCATATTGCATCTCCAAAGCTGTTAGTAGGTCAGCAGAACAGTGTGAACAGAGCTGTGTCTCTTCACTGACCTGAGTGAGCAACTGGACAGGTGAGTTACAGACACTGCACTGTTGACCTTCTACAGTAACACACAACGCTGTACTTCTGTATCAATCTACAGTGAATTTCTTTTTCATTGACTACCGTATTCTGCTGATGTTTAATTTTTTATTTTACATATTGTTTTATTAATTATATTGTATTAATGGCACTTTTTAAACATTGTATTATATATTTCTAGACGTTTTTATTATATGAACAGAATGCACCAATTTTAGCTGATATTCTAAACTACAAGTTTTAATTCCTTGAAAGTTTTATTAACATTTCAAACCCTGTGTTGATGCTGACGCCCTGCAGGACTGAGAGACTCTTCTCCCGGGTCTCTGCCTGATCCCCTGTGTGACTGAGCTCGGACTCCCAGCAGCAGGAGAGAAGAGAAGCTGCAGCCATGGGTGTTGAAGACTCCCTCCGCTCATGGGGGGCGACTCTGCTAATCCTGCCTGGTGAGACTGAGCGCCTGCACAGTGTGGACCAGCCCCTCACTGGAGACACAGCCACTGAGGCAGCTGGGCAGCAACAGCGCCCTCTAGAGTCTGCTCTGACACTGCAAGAGTATAAAAGTAAAAGTATAAAACTAAATAGACTTAAGTATTTAAAAAGATGATGTGACTTTCTGGGGGAAACTACTATCCAAAACCATCAGTCAGTATCTTGATGCCTCTTGACCCTAATGGCAGTGAAGACTAACACTTTGTGAAAGCTTCCTGTGAGAGACTGTTATCTCAGTCCAGCTACCCAGGGGCACAGACTGGTTTCCTCTGCAGACCCACTGATCTTCTGCTCCTGCACCTTGTGCACAACCTACTGTGTCTTTTACTCCCAGGACCTCAGGGGATAAAAACATCTTTGATAAAGAACTGTGTCTGAATTGTGGACCTCACGTGAGCCTGACACCAGCCTCCTCTTTCCTGGCTTTGATAGGCCATTTCCTCAGGCTAGCAATTCCTAACTTTTAAGACACAAATGCTTTTTCTCTTCTTCTGTATCAACATCTTGTATGCACTGCTGAGTGTTTCATTGGCTGTAAAACTGCTTTGAGATATCTTAAGATAAAAAAGTTCCTCTCTCCACAATGAGCTACTCTTGGCAACCCCTGGCCTGTGTAACACTGTGAAAGTTGAACTCTGCTCACGATTTTGCAACAGATCATTCTTGCTGTGGCCATTTGACCGTTTTAACTACTTCCTGGAAAAAAAGGCCTCTTCAAAAAACAGAAGTTACAATTCCATTTTATACCATAAAACTTCTTCTCAAGAGCTGCTGTAAGTCAGTGGGCAAAGATTCGTCTCTTCAGCCGGCCAGAGTGCCCACTGGACATCAGAGACTCCTGTGAGTTACACACCTGGGAGCTGCCCATGGTCTCTCTCAACACTGAGGTCTGTGAACTAATCTCTTTCTACAGCAACCATACGTGTATCAACTGTGGAAGATCTGTCCATCCTGCGTAAGGTATATAACAATACACGTTTGCTGATTCAAATACCCGTGTTCTCTCTCTCAGACACTCAGGCCTGCAAACTATTATCTTTATTCAAAATAAGAAAATCTACACTGTTCTGAGTTTCATAAATTAACGTTCCTAACAGTACTCTAAGGTTTTAATGATTTCTGTTAACACTCAGAAAAAAAATTGCAAGAACTGTTATCAATATTTGCAAATAACATACCTATTCATCTGTATCTGGGTATTAATAAT